TGAAAGCTAATTGTTTTCAGTTTCAAAATCAGCCAGGTCAGCGAGTGTCACAATGGCCTCAACACACAGAGTAAAAATGCAAAAAGAACAGGAGTACTTGTGGCACCTTAGAGACTAACAAATTTTGATCATGAAGTTGATGGATTTCCACTCCATACAGCTAAATGCAGTGCCTTGCATAATGATAGGTTTCAGAGTAGCAGCCGTGTTAGTCTGTATCCGCAAAAAGAAGTAAAAAGAGTAAAAATGGTGTGTCTCAATTTATGATCATCTCTCAGGCTGAATATTTCTGTGTGCTGCAGTATGTTTGAAGCCACAACCTATTAGCTCTCTGCATTTCCTTCATTCTCTCTTACTGAAACAAGGACATGATAATCAGCTTTCGCAAATGTAGAGAGAATACAATTTAATCTGGGATCATCTCCAGAATATGCTCTTACATCAGATATTCTTAAACTTTGATGAAGCTGTCTGGATACAAAATTATGCAAATGAAGACTAATTTATCAACAGGTGATTAGGCTTGTATTCTCCTAGATGTCATGAGCAATAGGAGAGACCTGCACAATTTTTAGGAAAATAAGAAAAAAGGGGTACAGCTCTTCTCTCCCTACTCCCCTTAGTCTTACACATCCCTGACAGAGCACTGAGGAACCCCCACTTTCTTCCTTTAAAAGTCCCCTAAATCATAAATACAAGAACTAGACAGAAAGCTGTCTGCATTGTTCATTAATTAGCCAATGGATTGCTATCAAACAAGCTAGCAACCTGCACAGGCAAGCACTGATAACCCACATAATCTCTTCTGTCTTCGGAGTCTGTATGTGACTTCAGTTTTTTTGTAGAAGTTACTTAATATAAATAGTATGTGGTACATTTCTATAACATGAGTCATATGGGGCTTGCCTCTGATAAGAACTCATTAAAAATACTCCAACATTCTGTTTCTGTAGTTTACCAACACTGTTCAACCAAGCAGGAACTTACAGTAGTAAATAACTACATGAACTTTAGACAGCACAGAGGGTTTCATTGCTTTATGAACTCAATATAGCATTTGAGCTATATGCACCAGCAGTGAATCGCTACATAACCTGCAATTATACTCTGAAAAAATGACTATAAAATGGCAGCATAAGGTTCATTGTTTATTAATTTCATAGCAAATGTGTTCAGTTTACAAATAAAACTATCTTCTTCTAATTACCTGTGCTGCAAACTCAGACTGGAATCTCTGAATCAAGCATCATCAGTAGCAATAAAGGTTCTTAAATTGGAATAATTTTACTGTTGATCCATGAGCCAGGATCTAATCCAGCTCACCCTCTCAGAGCTATGTTAGCTCTGCAGAGCCAACAGGAGTACAAGGAAGTTATGTAACACATCTAAACAGATATGACTATTGCCAATACACACAGGGAACAAATCTGTTGAGTAAGAAGTCGCCATTTTTATGCAGCCACATTTTTGATCAGTTGCACTTTAATGAACATCCATTGAAAAGGAAACATTTGAGAGTAATTGCAATAGTTACTGTAAGAAATAAAGTATTGTGCATTAAGACCAGACAGAAGTGAAAGCAGCAGGTGTGAAATTCACATTGAGATCTGGAACCCAGCTATGTCATGAGCATTAACAATGTTCTTGGCATTTTACAAACATGGAACCAAAGTTTACTTTCCTGCAAAAAGACCTGTTTGTGAATGTGTGAGACATGGTGGAGGTGGAGAGTCCTACAGGGAGTAAAATATAGTTTGGTTCCCTTCATGGAGTTTTTATCCAAATCAAGGTACACCTCTACCCTGATATAATGCTGTCCTCGGGAGCCAAAAAATCTTACCATGTTATAGGTGAAACTGCGTTGTATCGAACTTGCTTTGATCCGCCGGAGCGGGCAGCCCTGCCCCCCTGGAGTGCTGCTTTACCGCGTTATATCCGAATTCGTGTTATATCGGATTGCACGAGAGGTGTATATGAGATTTATATGCCCACCCCCCTTGCAGATGCAGAGGAAATTCACCCCAAACTGCACAGATGCCCTGACATCTGCTGGAGATACAGCTTATCCGCACGAGGGACTGAGCTCCATCCTGACTCCTGTCCACCAGTTCTCTGGCATCCTCATTCTAGTGCAGCTAGCCTGCCAGTGAATCCTACATAGGGCTTGTCTCCACTTAAAACGTGGCAGCATTTCAGTGACGACACTACCTATGCCAAGGGGAGGAGTTCTCCCATTGGCAAAGGTACTCCACTTCCCCAAAAGCTGGTAGCTAGATCGAGGGGAGAATTCTCCTGTCAACCGAGCGCTGTCTACACCGGGGGTTTGGTCAGTTTAATTGCGTTGCTCGAGAGTGTGGATTTTTTACACCCCTGAGTAACATAGTTATACTGACCTAATTTCCTAGTGTAGACCAGGCCATAGTCAGCTACCCCAGGACTCTGTACAGAAGGGGTCCTGCAGCAACTTCCCCCAGAAACAGACCCCTGGTCCCAAGAGAGCCCTCCATCAGGGAGACAAAAGTGCAGAACAGACAGGCAGAGAGGGAGCACATCCAATCCTAAGTCTTGTAGTCACTGGAGTAGTTAGCTCAAGTTAGTACACTTGAGCTACTGCAGTGGTTCTCAATCAGGGGTACGCGTACCTCTGGGGGTACGCAGAGGTCTTCCAGGAGTACATCAACTCATTGAGATATTTGCCTAGTTTTACAACAGGCTACATAAAAAGCACTAGCGAAGTCATTACAAACTAAAATTTCATACAATGACTTGCTTATACTGTTATATATACTATACACTGAGATGTAAGTACAATGTTTATATTCCAGTTGATTTATTTTATGATAATGAGCAGCTATAGCAGAGGCAGGGATTATATAATACAAAATAGAATATAGGCAGTGCAAGAGGAGAGGTGACAGCACAGCAGGCTAAGAGTAGGAGATCAGCAGCAAAGAGATCAGGAAACCATTTAGACATAGAATCATAGGACTGGAAGGGATACCATGCCATCCTGTTGGGTATATGTTATGGTTAGGAGTGGATGGGTGAGGTTCTGTAGTCAGCAATATGCAGGATGTCATGATGGTCCCTCTGACCTTAAAGTCTATGAGCATAAGAACCCTCCACAGATATCTCTGAATGCATATAAAACAGTATAAAATTCTCTAGAACTGGAATTTTACATTTGAGCATCTTCATGCCTGACATAACTATCTTACTGTCCTTAAATTACTCATGAGTCTGCTACATATGGCTGCTTTCTACAGTAAATCCCCCACTATACTTGACAAAGAAGGACATTTACTATGTACCAAAGCTTTGAATTTCAGGCCTCCACTATAATTGGCTTCAGTGCTGAAGCTCATCAGTAACTAGAGAGTAATGTAACTTGACATGTTTTTCAAGCAATCTGGCAAACTTTATTCTGCTGTAGATCATTACACATGTTCTCCTGCTACTTTACCTACTTAGTAGATACCATGCAAAATGCAAACTTTTCAAACTTAAATATTGCAATGAGGACTTTTAAATTAATTATAATAGGCTAGATGAAATCATAACATGGGCCTTGATCCAATAAATGCTGAACAAGTTGTGAAGACAAGACACCTAAGAAATATTAAATAGGTATGCTTGGGTTAGGTTACATTGTGCTAAGTGTTTCCCCTACTTGTTTCAAAATCAAGTAGTTAAGGTTGCAGGCATATATTAGTGGTGACAGTGCATATTACCATTCAAGAATATATGAAAAAAATAATTAGAAACCCAAGAAATCCATAGATAAAGTTGCACTTCTCAAACAAGGCACTCAAACAGCCTTACTTCTGCCTCCTTAGAAAAGCCCTGTAAACTTTAGAAAAACATACTTATCCGTCCATAACAGTTTCATTTTATCAATGACCACAAAAACCAGTATGGCTCAGTCTTGATCATATACTAGTTGCGCTGTCTTAGGGTCTGCTTTATACTCATATGCAGAGCACATACAAGAATTTTACACATTCTTGGCTGGACAAATAACATTGAAGGCAGTTATTCCATACACTTTTATAAGGGCCAGATCTTGTGAGCTGTTGAAGGCACTCAGTGTCTCACAAAATCAGGCCCTGTCATTCCACGTGATAGCCAATTTTTCAAGTGTCATTTGATGCTGAGCTTAGCGTATCTCCATAAACAAACATCATATGGCCAGCTCATGCTATTAAATCACTTCCATGAAAAGAACAGATGTTAGTATGATGACAAACCATCACACTTAGTACTGGAGACATGTACATACGAAGCCAGCACATCCCTCGCCCGCGCCGCTTCCCGCCGCCCCCATTGGCCTGGGACGGCGAACCACGGCCAGTGGGGGCCGCGATCGGCCGAACCTGCCGCGTCAGCAGGTAAATAAACTGGCCCGGCCCGCTAGGGTGCTTACCCTGGTGAGCCACGTGCCAAACGTTGCCGACCCCTGCTCTAGACAGAGGAGACTAGGGAATAAGTTAAACTGAAGAGTCCCAGGCCTTTTCAGTTACCCTTAAAATCACTTTTGTTCTTTTTAAAAACAATTGATTTTAATTAAAAAAACCCTGGCCATGATCTGTGACTTTTCATTCCTTTTACCATCATATTATGATTTTTATCATGACAATACAACAACTCTTCTCTCAGGCACACTGTTGTGTAACTTTGGAGTAACTCTATGGACATCAGTGTAGTTGCTCAGGCTTCACACAAACTCCACTGACATCAAGGAAATAACTGTAAATTTACTGCAGGGTAACTGAGAAAACGTCACCCTGAGCTGAGGTGGTTTTTTTTTGTTTTTTTTTAATTTTGGGAATAAACTTTCTTAGGTTTAAAATAAAGAACGCTCTTTAATCAAATGGCTTTATGTGTCATGCTTTATAGGTTAAGATTTTCATATCCATGTCTTTGAAATCAGTGTTATTCACTTTTTTCTTTCGCTCTTCTGTTGTCAGCTTCTTAAAAATAATTTGCTTCCTTTATTCTAGGGATGTAACCCCTTGGCTGAGACTGGCCGAAGCAAACTGCAAAATCAAAGAGCTGCTCTAAACCAACAGATCCTGAAAGCAGTAAGGTTGAGAACTGGTGCTGAAAATCTTCTACGGTATGTTCCCATCACTTTACTATTTTTCTGTCTAAAGCAACAAAATGTTTTTTGTTCTTTCAGCAGGGGTGTCCTTCAGTTCCCAGATAGCTGCCTCGCTGCTCCCATAATTTGCTGAATAAACTGCAGCTGGATGTTCTGCTGACAGCCTTATGTAATGCCCCATCTCTAGAAAGTCATTAACTGTTATACAGTAACTCTTCGCTTAACGTTGTAGTTCTGTTCCTGAAAAATGCGACTTTAAGCGAAACGATGTTAAGCAAATCCAGTTTCCCCATAAGAATTAATGTAAATAGGGTTAGGTTCACAGGAAATTTTTTTGTCTGTATATATATATACACACACACACACACACACACAGTATAAGTTTTAAACAAACAATTTAATATTGTACATAGCGATGATGATTGTGAAGCTTGGTTGAGGCGGGGAAGCCAGAGGGTGGAAGAAGGCGAGATATTTCCAGGGAATGCCTTACTGCTAAATGATGAACTAGCTTTTGGCTGAGCCCACAAGGGTTAACCCATTGTTGTTAATGTAGCCTCCCACTCTACAAGGCAGCACGAATGGAGGGAGGGGAGACAGCATGGCAGACAGAGACACACACCCTGTGTGAGAGAGAGAGATTGCCCCTTTAAGTAGGCTGACCCCACACTTAAGTACACTGCCTTTTTAAGTAGATCAGCAAGTTGAGACAGCAGCTGCTCCCAGGAAGCTCCCTCCGTCCTGAGGCCTGTCGTGTCGTCCCGCACCCCCTCATGGAGATGGGATAAGTGGGGTGCAGGAGCAGGGGGAAGGGGACACCCTGACATTAGTCCCCTTCTTTCCCCCTCCTGCACAGCAAGCAGGAGGCTCCTGGGAGCAGCTCAAAGGCAGAGGGCAGGAGCAGCACATGGAGTGGGGGGAAGGACAGCTGAACTGCCGGCAATTGATAGCCTGCTGGGCGGCTGTCCCACAGGAACTTACGGGAGCAGGAGCTGATAGGGGGGCTGCCGGTCCACCCTGGTTCCAAGCCCCCACCAGCTAGCTCCAATGGGCTGCTCTCTCTGCAAGCAGTGGACAAAGCAGGTGGCTGCCAAATGACATTATAAGGGAGCATTGCACAACTTTAAATGAGCATGTTCCCTAATTTATCAGCAACATAACAACAAAACAATGTTAACCGGGGAGACTTCAAGTGAGGAGTTACTGTATTATGTTTTTATGTTTTCAAAGTGCATTTTGAAAGCCACTGTATTGCAGAAAAAGGGCATTGCACTAGACTCAAGTTCTTAAATGACTTTGTTTGAAGACTGTTGAAATTATCCTAATTCAGTTTTTCCTGGAGTCTTTCATTAGATAGTGGTTGTTAGCATGATGCCTGCTTGTAAAGGAAACAAGTGAACATTTTTCTGAATATTAATTGTCTAAGAATGTGATCCCCACAAAACAGATCTTCCCAAGATCCTTCACATCTGTAGCCCACTGGCAGAGGGGCTCACCAGCAGAATAGTGAATTAGTGAGCAGCAGGTAGTGTGGCATATGGCTGATTGCTGCTAGCTGTTGCTCCTGCAGGACCTATGTCCATTGTGCCCCTTTTAATTCCTTAGGCTTCATTATGACATGACCTGGAAGAAGAGGGTGGAGTAGACTGCATCTGAGAGGCATGTGACTGACTTGGTCAGCAGGCTGGATGTTGCAGTGGGCCAGATTTTTGGGGGGTTGAAGGCAAAATTTTCCTGGACCTGGGTCACATGGTAAAATTTTCAAAAGTGCATGAATGACTTACCCAAGTACCATTTTCAGAAGTCACTTAGACATTTAGGAGCTTAAGTCCCAATGACTTTCAATGAAACTAAGGGCTTGTCTACACATAAACCACTCCAGCAGAACAGGTGCACTGCTGCAACGCTTCAGTGAAGATGCTATCTATGCCGATGGGAGGGGTTCTCCCATTGGTGTAGGTACTCCACCTCCCAAGAGGCAGTAGCTAAGTTAACAGGAGAATTCTCCCTCTGACCTAGTGCTGTCTATACTGGAGGTTAGGTTGGTTTAACTGTGTCACTCAGGGATGTGGATTTTTCACACCCCTGAGTAACATAGTTATACCGACCTAATTTCCTAGTGTAGACCAGGCCTTAGACTCCTAAGAGCCTAAGTGACTTTTGAAAATTGGACTTAGGAAAATCAATAGGAGCTTTTAAAAATTGTACCCCATTACAGACTTAATCCACTCCTGGAGTTTTTGCAGGTGCCTGCTATGCAGGCTCACTGGTCTGTAATGCCAGTTTCTGATTCTGAAAGGAAAAAACGCTTTCTATCTTGATGGCATAAAATGATCTCTGGATCTCTGGGCTTCCCCTGGTTTGTGTGAAACCCCATGTGATATCTAGAGTAAAGTGTCAGGTTGCCACAGAACTAAAACAACCTCCCAACTTCACATTTGTAAAGCATGAACTTCCTTCCTTTTGTGCACTTGCTTTTTGAGATTCTGTCTTTTCACTTTGGTACCCTTTAGTTCTCTGAGTTATTTATCTTAAAAATCTGACCTTGCAGTGTTTATGGGGAAACCCCATAGCTGGTCTGTGGTGGGGAGGGGATTTCTCTTTCATTTGCCTGCTGCTGGAAGGCTTGTTTCCGTATTAAAAAAAACAAAAACAAAGAAAAAAAGCATTTATGTAGATCCCTACCTATATCTGCCTTGCAGTATAAGCCTTATATTGTCCCACAATAAGGACCATCTAACCCTTACCACTTAGTCACTATTTTCCCCCAACAGCTCTCCCTCCTGTTATTTGTGGATGTGGATTTCTCCTTGTTATTTAAAACTGCTTCATATGGTGTCTATAATCTGCCATGACTGGAGAATCTATGGATTTGTGGAGAGTTGACAGTGTCCAAGAGCAAGAATCCAGTCAATGTGATTTCTTCAGAGAAGATTACTCATGTAACTTTACTTCTCTGAAGCATGACTTCTCTGACTAGATTCCCACTTGCCTGTGCACCTGCCTTACCCCTCAGATTTTGGAAGTGACCGACGCTCAGGGGCATATCCTTAGCTGGTGTAAATCATCCTAACTCCTTTGACTTTCACAGAGCTAGACAATTTACACTAGTTGGGGATTTTTTGCCTCTCAGTGACTGACTTTTATTTTGGTGCTCATCTTGCCATTGAGATATGTTTTGGCTATTTATTTTGCTTAAAATTTGAAGATCTCTCTGTTTCATGCTCACCAAAGAGCTGTTCTATAGGCCACTGAGGTAAGGGCATTGAGTTGCAAAATGGGGCTTTCTGACTTTACATGTTATATGTAACCTGCACAGCTCCTGAGTGTGGTGTTCTGTCCCTTCTAATGCACCGAGACCACTTAGAGATTAATGAGTCTGCTACAGCCTCAGCTAAGAGCCATGTGACTTTTAGCTCATGCAGTAGGGCAGTGGTTCCCAAACTTGTTCCGCCGCTTGTGCAGGGAAAGCCCCTGGCGGGCCGGGCTGGTTTGTGTACCTGCCGACGTCCGCAGGTTCGGCCGATCGCGGCTCCCAGTGGCCGCGGTTCGCTGCTCCAGGCCAATGGGAGCTGCTGGAAGCAGCGTGGGCCGAGCCGCCGC